CTCCTCCTCCTCCTCCTCCTCCTCCTCCTCCTCCTCCTCCTCCTCCTCCTCTCCTCCTCCTCCTCCTCCCCTCCCCCTCCTCCTCCTCCTCCTCCTCCTCCTCCTTCTCCTCCTCCTCCTTCGTCGTCCACCTGCGAGTCCGACGCCGGGCCGCTCCGAGGCTGGGCATCCTCGCGGCCCTTCTCGGGGAGCGTCCTCGCCGCCGGGACGGAGGCGCGTGCGGCCTGCGGCCCAGGAGGCGCCGCGGCCGCGCGGCCGCGGCCGCGGAGATGTCGATCTCGCGCTCGCGCCGGCGGGGCACGGCCGAGGGAGAAGAAGGGTCAGCCACTCGCAGAGGGGGGGGGAGGGGGGAGGCTTCTTAGAAGCACCCCTGCTTCTTAGAAGGTGCGGGCCTTATCTATAGATGTAAAGCTGGCGCCTTCTAAGAAGCAGCCTCCTTCTAAGAAGCCCTCCCCCCTCCCTCCACCCCCTTGTGCGCGCCGCCAAAAGGGAGAACGGGGGGAGGGAGGGTTGGCGATTGCAGGGGTCTCAGTACGGAGGGCGTGCTGCCTGTTGGTGCCCAGGGCTGAGCGCCAGACCTGTGAGCGCTTGGAGGTCGCCGTCGAAAGCTGCCATCCTCAGTGTTTGGTGCTCGGTTTGGCGGCGCCGAAGGATTCGAAAGTAAAGCAGAGAGGTAACAATCAGTGGGAGATAACGGAGATACCGAGAGCGCGCACGCGATGCGAGGGCCAAGTTCCTCTCCTCACCCCCGTCCCTCCCATGTGAGGGACGAGGATGAGGAAAAGAGTTTGGCCTGTCATTCAGTTCCACCATCACCGAGCGCGTTCCACTACTCGCAGAGTGCCTACTCGCAAACGTCCGAAAACACACATGTCTGCTTCGATGTGATTTCTCGCAGATCACCCGCGGCGGATCCAGGTCATTATCGAGCAGCTACTTTGCGAGTCGTGAAACGCGCCTGTCTGCACACGGCATTTTCAGCCCCGCTTCCTCCAGGGGGGTCGGCCGTGGGGGTCGGGAGGCGTTTTTTTTTCTGTTCCTCTCCCGAAGGCCTTCCCCCGCCCAACTCACCCCCCTGCCTCGCGTGTGCCGAAGCCTCGCGTTGCCCCCACAGTTTTTTGTTGTCCGTTAGTGCAAATTTGCCCCAGGAGCTGTCCTTTCCCTTTTAGTTTTCCCAGAGTTTCCCCCCTCCCCCAGTTTCCCCCTCATTCTTCCCAGAGTTTTCCCCGAGTTTCCCCTTCAGTTTTCCCAGAGTTTACCCGACGATCCTCTTGTGGTTCCCCCAGAGTTCCCCCCCTCCCCCCCAAGGGGGGGGGGGTGGTCCGCTGGGGAGGTCCCCCTCAGGCGGAGCGGGGAGGCGCCGGAGCTTGCTGGCTCGCTTCTGGCGCACTTCGTGGTGCCAGCGTGCGTAAACCCCAAACAATGATTTATTACACTTTGGAGGTGAAAGGTAAGCGGGGTAAGCTATGTGGTTTAAGCTATGTCGTGTAAGCTGTGTGGTCTGAACTATGGAGGTGCAAACTATTATGCGTGACTCATTTTGTCATTGAGGAGTCATCAGCGCCACTTCGCGCGCAAACATCCCACCCTTCCACCCGCAAGCTGTTTGGCAACACGCATGCGGCCACGAGTGCGGCTGCCGAGTGGAACTTGTTAGCGCATCTCTACGCCCGCAGTGGCGCGCGCACTCTCACGCGCAGATTGTCCAGCTGGCTTGTCATACTAACTGGTGCGGCCGCGATTGCGCTTGCCGATGGGAACTTCCCAGCGCGTCTCAAAAGCCGCGCTGGCGCGCGGGCGCTTCATTGCGGGTCTGTGGCTCGGGCGGGCGCGATAGATGACGTTGACACTTGCGGCAACCGCGATGACGATAGCGGTGGTGGTGGCTATGATGACGACGTCGACGGCAGTGCCAATGACGGCGCCGATGCTGGTGATGATGATGACGATGATGACGAGGATGAGGATGACGAGAATGAGGATGGTGATGCAGATGATGTGCATGTGCTGGTGATGAGAGTCATTGTGCTGGTGATGGCTGTCATGGCGGCGATTTGCGATGACGCTCACGGCGGTGATGCGTTGGCTCTGAAGAGGGTGGTGAGAGGGAGTGCGCGCGTGCAGAAGTTCAATAAATGATACATACTATCTGTTGAAACAGATGTCGCACACATGTTGTTGAAGGGCTCTACTTTGAAGCGCTTTCGCAGTCGATGATGTTAAGAAGGATTTCGACACGTGCGCGTGGCAGCACGCGGATGTGGTCCGCATGGTATTATTTGATTCGGATCCGTGCGTTGGCGCATCCTAGATCAATGCGGATGCACCGCGCGTTGAGATGTAAATGTGGGGATTGGACGGGATTGCAAAATTCGTACGGATTTCGTATCTATGGTTTCAGCAAGTGCGCGCGGGCAGGACATCTGCGATATGTTCGATGCAAGTACTTAACTATGGTTTTCAGGCTGCCTTGTTGGAATTATTGCACAGCTGCTGCGTTTGCACGAGCGCGTGTGGGCTCTGTGACATGCTTTGCAACATGTCATTCGGGCTTGATCTGCAGAGGTAAACTAGTGCGCGCGCATCGCATTTCTTGACCGGCGTAGCGAGGGGTTCCCATACTAGCTGGGCTGGGACGGTGCGATTTCCGAAGGAAAACGAACGATGAGGCATATTGATATGTACATTGCGCTGCAAAGGGGGGCTCGAAGTCCAGTCTCGGGAAGGGGTGGGTCCCATTATTTTTTGCTGTGCGGGAAAGAATCACCTCTGTGGTATGATTTATAGCGTGTGATGCATGCGCTGTGGGCTGGAGGTGAAAGCTGTGCGGTGAAAAAACAACGTGGTGTAAGAGATGCCGTGTAGCATAGGCGGTGCAAGCTATGTGGTGTACACCTCAGGCGATGCTCAAGAAAACTTGCATTCTCGTCCAGAGTCTCGATTATTCTTAACGTTTCAATTGAATTCCTAAGGTTTTGATAGAAATTCTGGGTTTTATTCAAATTCTGAGACTATGAATTTCTCAACCCATGATTTCTTAAGCATTTCGCAGGGTGTAATCTATGTCGTGTGAGCTCTGTGGCGCAAGCTCCGCCCACGGGGCGCCCGCGTCTGCCCACGGGGCGGCACGGGCGGCAGCGTGGCGCAGCCCCGGCCGACCCACCCCAGCGCACGGAACGCCGACGAGGCGGCACGGGCGGCGACAGGTCGCGGTTTTGGCCGACCCGCCCAGCGCACGGGCGCCCACGAGCGCCGAAGAGGCGGCACGGGCAGCAATGTGGCGCAACCTCGGCCGACCTATCCAGCGCAAGAGACGCCCACGAAATGCCCGCGAAGCGGCACAGGCGGCAACGCGGCGTGACCCAAGACGGCCCGAGGCGCCCCAAAGACGGTCCAAGTCGGCCCCAAGGGCCCCCCCAGAGGCCGCCAAGAGGTAGAAAAACAGTCATGTCCGCAAGTTCCCCACAAATTCTTTCGCCATCGTGGGCATCGTTTGAGATTCCCAGACATCTCGAGACATTCCTTTACATTGGTGTTCTGGGGGCCCCCAGGGGCGGCCCCGCGCGCGCGAACTAGAATATTGTTAACCAGTCACCGGAGATCTTAGCACGCCCTTGGCCCGTTGGGCCGGCGAATGTTTGACGAGGCTTGTAAGACACCAAGACCGTCATGCTCTAACACCAACGTCCCAGAGCCCTGAGGCTCCATGACTCCAAGACCAGGACCCTCAGACCATGGGGTACCATGGAATGTTCCTTGTTTTTTTCTCCGGTAAGTCCCCTGACAGGTTTTCTGGCGCGTCTCTTTGCGCGTTTCGTGGCGCGTCCCGTCCCCCAGCATGTCCCTTGGCGCGTCCCCTGGCGCGTCCCTTGAGAATCCATTGCTTATCGAAACAGAGACACACCGTGCTCCTGCGTCAGGACACCAGGGCTTGCCGATAGGCGACAGTGGGAGGATGCAGAGGCCACGTGGCGCGAGGCAGCGAGGATAAGGAGGAGCAGGGCGGCGACGACGACAACGAGGAGGAGAAGGAGCCAACGACTCCAGCCTGCCAGATCTGTACCCCTCTCCGGGCTCGTGGGTCGGTCGTGTTGCATGGTTTTGGCCTCTCGGGTGTTCCATGCACTTTCGATGGAACGCCCTGTGCTGGAGCGCTGGGCGCTTTGGAGGGGGAGGGGGAGGGGGAGGGGGAGGAGGAGGAGGGGGAGGAGGAGGAGGAGGGAGGAGGGGAGGGGGGAGGAGGGGGAGGAGGGATGAGGAGGAGGAGGAGGAGGAGGCGGAGGAGGAGGAGGAGGAGGAGGAGGAGGAGGAGGAGGAGGAGGAGGAGGAGGGGGGGAGGGGGAGGAGGAGGGAAGAGGAGGAGGAGGAGGAGGAGGAGGAGGAGGAGGAGGAGGAGGCGGAGGAGGCGGAGGAGGAGGAGGAGGAGGAGGGTGGTGGGAGGAGGAGGAGGAGGGTGGTAGGAGGAGGAGGAGGAGGAGGAGGAGGAGGAGGAGGAGGAGGAGGAGGAGGAGCGCCCTGTGCTGGAGCGCTGGGCGCTGGACGGCCTCCGAGCCAGGACTCCCTCCCCAGGCCCCTGCAGCCCCGGGCCCCTGCAGCCCCGCGCGGGAGAGGGGGCGTGGTGTGAGCCAACGCTCTCCACGGCAGGGGCTCCCAGCGACGACGACGACGACGACTCCCGACGACGACGACGACGACTCCCGACGACGACGACGACGACTCCCGACGACGACGACGACGACGACGACGACGACGACGACGACGACGACGACGACGACGGATTATGGGGCCTCCGACAGTCCACGCGCCGAAATGAGGACCGCCTGGAGCTCAGCAGGGGCTCGGGTTCTGGGGCTGGTCGCGAGATCCGGGTCGGGAAGCCTCTTCGTGGCCAAGGCCCGCCGGGGCCATGAAAGCCCCTTCGTTCCTTGCCCAGCGCTCCCCGTGGTGGCACGACGGCTGCACCCAGGGCCCGCGTGGGGGCACTCCACGGCCATTCTGGCTCGAGCCGTTCCGCTCCTCCGTCCGCCCGGGCGGCTCAGGGGCCGCTCGATGCCTGGGGGCGCCTCGGGGCCTCCGGCGCGCGGGCCCGAGGAGGAGGCCCAGAGGGAGGCGAAGGAGGAGGCCCAGGAGGAGCCCCGGGGGGCCCAGGAGGCGGAGGCCCAGGAGGAGGCCGCGGTGCAGCGGGCCCGGGAGGTGCTCCAGGAGGAGGCGAAGGAGGAGGCGCAGGAGGAGGCGGCGGAGTTCGAGATCTCCCTCGACCGCTCCGGCGGCGAGCCCCTGGGCGTCGACGTCGAGAGCGGCGAGCGCGCCCCAGGGTGGGACGGGAAGACGCTCCTGGTCAAGGTCGGCGGCGAGCACAGGGGGGGGGGGGCGAGAGGGGCCGGGCCTTCTCGGAAGGCTCTTGGAGGGGCTCGGGCCTTCCGCGAAGTCTGTCCAGGCCTTCACCGAGGACGGGGATCTGCTCAGAGGGCGCGGGCGCTTCGGGGGAGCCCCGCCGCCTTCCGAGGAGGCCTGCCCCTCCTCGACCAACGAGACAAACGACACCACCCCGCCTACGGCCCACCATCTTGCGCCACGGCCCATCGGGCGCCGTAGCGTATACCCGAGGCGGGAACTTGAACATGACCACCGCCTGGAGGGTCAGTTTTCGGAGCCCCGGCAGGCGGTGGATATGGACGTATTCAGGCCCCCGGGGGCCGACATATATCCACATCCACCGCCCGCTGGGGCACCAGGACGTCGGTTCCCAGGCGGTGGATATGGAGAAGTCCCCGACTCGCAGTACACCACGCAAAAGCCCAAGCCATAGTTCATGGCATGTGCTAAGGCCTGTGGGGCCGTAGGTGGGGTGGTGTCGTTTGTTTTCTGGTCCACCCTCTCCCTTCCCCCCAGGGCTCGCCGCTAACAAGGACATCCGCGCCGCGGGCCTGGTACCCGCATGGAACGCCGTGAACCCAGCGCTGGCCGTCCGCCCAGGGGACCGCTTCGCGGCCGTGAACGGCCGCTGCGGCGACGCCGCCCGCCTCATCCAGGAGCTAGGGGGCGGCGAAGAGGCTTGGCATCGCTCGGACGTGTGTTGCGAAAACATGATGGACCCACGAACCCGGAAAGGGATACAGTGGGGGGCGCGCATCAAGAAACCATCTGCTTCTCGCCAGGGTACCCTGGGTTTCTTCGCTCCGCGCGCCGTGCGGTGACTTCCCGCGGCCGTTGCAGAAGCTGCTGCGTTCAGGGTGCTCCGGGCTTCCCCTCAGGAGCACCTCGCGCGCGGGTTTTCAGGGTTGGGTTTCTTGCGAGGGTTTCTTGCGGCCGCGCTCGCACTGTATGTAATGCTGAAGGCATCGGTAATCACGATGCCGTGCCATAGGTTCCGCTACACTGTGCCGCGACGTGCCGCGCTACGTTGCACTGCGATGCCACTCTGCGCCGACGCCGAACTGGGCGACGGGCTCTTGCAATGCTGAAGGTATCGATGGCAATGTACAGCGCTAAGGGCTGTGCTGCGCCGTGCTATGCTGACTTGGAACTTGTCATGCTGCGCTGAACTGTGCTGTGCTCTACTGCGTTGTGGATCAACTAGCCCGTGGCCTCCGAATCCTGACCGAACTGTTTTGGATCTTAAGCTCGAGCTGCCTGAACGCGTGGCTCGTCTGGCCGCAATCGAAGCGCGCGGGGGCGCTGGACCAGCTCGAGCTCAAGATCCAATTCAGTTCCGAAGCTGGACGAAGCAACGCTCCACATGTGAAGCGTGGGACCGCTTTCACGACACCGAACTGGGCGGCGGGCACTTGCAATGCTGAAGGTATCGATGACGATGTACCGTGCCATGAGCTGTGCTGCGCCGCGCGGCGCTGACTTGGAATTCGTCATGATGCGTTGAATCGTGCTGTGCTCTATTGGTTGTGGATCAAGTCGTCCTTGGCACCCGACTCCTGGACGGATTGATCTGTATCTTAAGTTCGAGCGCATGAACGCACAGCTCAGTACCAGCGCGGGGCGGACTGGGCACGTAAAAACACGTGGTTCGACTCCGATGGGCCCGACTTGCTGCGACGTGAGAGCCGGACATCCACGACCTCCGGCAAGCAGTCCGCAGACACGGGGGTCTGACAGCAAACATGTTTGAAGCGAACGATGATTTACACTAGCACAGGACAGCACTCGATGGAGCAATTTGGAACAAGCGTTCCTACGCCACACACACACAGCACTGACCACAAGTTCCACATCTGCAATTGAGGGCCCCGGCCCGCCCGCGCCGGCCCTCCAGGACCCGCCTCCCCGGCGGACTCAGGCGCGCCTTGCCCGCCTTGCCCCCCATGTTAAATATTCCGATGGGTGGCCTGGACACGTGAAAACACGTGGCCCCGGCGCAGGACCACCATGTTGGACATTCTCCTGGGTGGCCTGACACGTGGAAGCACCGGGCCCCAGCCCACCCAGGGGGGATAGCTAACATGCGCTCGTCTTGGGCGCAGGCAGGCCCAGAAACGCTCGCAGGCGCCCGGATGCCAAAAAGTCAACGAATCGATACAGGATACGAATGAACTCTCCACGTTCCGTTCCAGGCCCCCAGGAAGTCCCCAGGAGGCCCACGTTAGGTATCCCCCTGGGTGGCCTGGACACGTTGAAGCACCTGGTTCCACGATGTTACAAACCCCCTGGGCGGCCTGGACACGTAAAACCACGTGGTTCCAATTCGGGACAATCATGTTAGATACCCCCCTGGGTGGCCTGGACACGTAAAATCATCTGGGACCAGCTCTGGGCAACCATGTTAGATAACCCCCTGGGTGGCCTGGACACGTTAAAACATATGGTCCTTGCTGGGGGCAACCATGTTAGATATCCCCCTGGGTGGCCTGGACACGTAAAAACACGTGGTGACAGCTCTGGGCAACCATGTTAGATACACCCCTGAGTAGCCTGGACACGTAAAAACACGCGGGCCTTGCTCGGGACAGTCATCTTAGATACCGCCTGGGTGGCCTGGACACGCAAAAACACATGGTTCCAGGTCGGCACAGCCATGCTAAATAAACCCCTGGGTGGCCTGGACATATAAAAACACGTCGGAGGTGAGGGGGTGAGATCGAAGTGGAACGGAGAGCCCCCCTACCGGGAAATCGATTTCGGTTTCGTGTTCGTGCGTGCCGTGCGTGCGGGCGAGGCGAAGCTGCGTGGGCGGGCGAGAGAAAGTCTCCTGTGGCTGAGGCGCGGCCGGACCAAATGTTTCCCTTCCGGGCGGCCGGTGGCGCGCGGTGTCCCGCCGGTGTCCCGCTGGTGTCCCGTCGGTTCTCCTGTGGCTGAGGCGCGGCCGGACCAAATTTTTCCCTTCCGGGCGGCCGGTGGCGCGCGGTGTCCCGCCGGTGTCCCGCTGGTGTCCCGTCGGTGTCCCGTCGGTGTCCCGATGATGATGTGGATGATTATGATGATGATGATGATGATGATGATGATGATGATGATGATGATGATGATGATGATGGTGATGATGATGATGATGATGATGATGATGATGATGGTGATGGTGATGATGATGGTGATGATGGCGATGATGATGATGATGATGATGATGATGATGATGTTGGTGTTGTTGATGATGATGATGACGTCGATTGTGAGATCACTTGTGATATCGATAGTGAGACCGAATGTGAGATCGATTGTGAGATCGATAGTGAGATCGATTGTGAGATCGATAGCGAGATCGATTGTGAGATGATGATGGTGATGATGGTGATGATGGTAATGATGGTGATGATGGTGATCATGGTGATGATGATGATGATGATGATGATGGCGTCGATTGTGAGATCGATTGGGAGTTCGACTGTGAGATCGATAATCAGATCGATTGTGCGATGCTGATGGTGATGATGGTGATGATGGTGATGATGGCCATGATGGTGATGATGATTGTGATGATGATGACGACGTTGATGATGATGATGATGATGATGATGCTGATGCTGATGCTGATGCTGATGCTGATGCTGATGCTGATGACGATGATGATGATGATGTTGATAGTGATGTCGATGATGCTGATGATGATGATGATGATGATGATGATGATGATGATGATGATGATGATGACGACGTCGATGGTGATATCGATTGTGAGATCGGCCACTCGTCGCCACGGCTGGATTCGCCTCGAACCGTTTCCTCCTTCGTTGTCTCCCTCCGCTCTTTCCTCTCCTCGCCTCCTCCCTCCCGTCCTCTCCCTCTTGGTTCCTCGTCGTCGTCGTCGTCGTCGTCGTCGTCGTCGTCTTCGGTCGTCGATCCTCGGTCGTTGATGGACCGGGCTGCCGAGTGGAAATTGCCTGGAGCTCCGGCGCTGTTTTCGCGTCGTCGTCGTCGTCGAATGTGAGATCGATAGCGAGATCGATTGAGTGAGACGTTGGTTCCCCATCCCCCCTCACCTCCTTCTCACCCGCAGGGTGGTCGTATAGGTAGTCCTTGCGCTCGGGACAATCATGTTATACAGTCAAGACGCTGAAATAAGGAACAGTTTGGGTTCGGAAGGGACTCGATGTTTCCTAGGTTCCTCCAGTGCTGTTCCTCTTGCCCTCCTGGGGTACGGAGGCGCTTACAGGGCCAAGAAGGGGCTTCGTTCCTTATTTAGCGTTCCTTCTGTCAGCGGCCCGACTGTATACCCCCCTGGGTTCTAGCTCGGGGCAGCCATGTTAGATACCCCCCTGCGTGGCCTGAATACGCTGAATTCGCGCTCCCGCACGAGACATCCTCGCAATGTCTTCCCTGGAGAGGCCCCCAAAGCGCCACACCCTGTCCAGAGCAAGAAAGCATCAGTTTCCTGTTTTGGGAGATGTGTTCGGGTAGCGCTTTTCGGCACCCCGTTCGTTTCCTGATAATTCGGCGTTGGGCCCGACGCCATGTTAGATATCCCTTGGGCGGCCTGGACAGGTAAAACCACGTGGCTCCAGTTCGGGACAATCATGTAAGACCCCCCCCCTGGGTGGCCTGGACACGTAAAAACACGTGAGACCAGCTCTGGGCAGCCATGTTAGATACCCCCTGGGTGGCCTGGACAGGTTAAAATACATGGTCCTTGCTCGGGGCAACCATGTTAGATACCCCCCTGGGTGGCCTGGACACGCAAAAACACGTGGTGTCAGCTCGGGACAACCATGTTAGATACACCCTTGAGTAGCCTGGACACGTTAAAACACGTGGTCCATGCTCGGGACAATCATATTAGATACCCCCCTTGGGTGGTCTGGACACGTAAAAACACATGGTTCCAGGTCGGCGCAACCATGTTTTAGATGCACCCCTGGGTGGCCTCGACATGTAAAAACACGTGGTCCTTGCTCGGGGCAACCATGTTAGATACCCTGGCCTGGACACGTAAAAACATGTGGTTCCAGTTCGGGGCAATCATGTTAGATACCCCATTGGGTGGCCCAGACAAGTAAAAACACGTGAGTCCAGCTCGGGACGACCATGTAAGATACCCCCTGGGTGACCTGGGCCCTCGTGGGGCCTCCTGGAGAGGGCCATTATATAAACACATGCATGAAAAAACACAGATTCGTGCCCCAGGAGAGGGCCAATCTATGGGAACACATAAAAACGCACGGATTCGTGCCCCTGACCCACATGTGTCCCGCACCCTGTGATTTATCGATCGGGATTTCAAAAACCAGCGCTTCGCTGGGGACATCCTCAATTTTGAATGCGCTGGCCCTACGCGACAGCGTCATTTATCGCAGAAGAAATTCGCCGGCCCGTCGCAAGTAAAGATCCGGCCCTTAGTTTACCAACCAAAATTGGGCGTTGCGTAATGGAGGGGTCATAAATGGGGGGGCGGCGAGCGTGGTCCGAAAAGGTACCCAAACGCTACCTAAACGAGCCCCCTGGGGCTCTGGAGGGGCCCGAAAGGGGCACGAAAGGGGACCTTTTCTGACCCCCCCATTTGTGACCCCCCCATTAAGCCACGCCCAACAAAAGAGAACCCTGGGCCTGCGCCCTTTCCGGGAAAAATGTGCGCACGACGCCGAAAAAAGAATGCACGGGGACTGCACGTCCGAGCGCGATGGCCGGGAGGGGCGCCGCCTGACAGAGGGGTGGGATATATCCGGGCCAGGGCCACGATGCCCCCCCAGACCCCCTCGAGTCATGAAAAAATCACGACGGGAGGTTTTTCACAATTTTGGGCCTCTGGGGGCCCTTACCGGCCCTCGGGAGCGCCAAAAAACGACTCAAGACGAAAAACCGGTCCCGGGGAATGGGTCGAGACCTCGGGGGGTCGACGTCATGAAAAAATCATGACGTCGGGGGTCTGGGTCCCCAGATCTCATCGTGCCCCCGCTTCTTCCCAGGCGTCCCCGGGCCCCCCCCCCCCCCCTCCGGGGCCGGGCGCGTGCCTCGTGCCCTGCCTGGCGACCCCCCCCCTTGGGTCGGCGCCCCCCTTCTCTGCCCGCCCCCGAGGAGTGCTCCCGGCCGCAGCAGCTCGCCATCCGCGTCTCGCGCGCCCCGGCCGCCGCCCCGCGGGCCGCGGCGGCCCCCGTGGCGGCCTCCCGCCTCGGCGCCACGGGCCGCCGCCGCGAGCGGCCTGCGCCCGCGGCCCCCCAGGCGCCGCGCCTGGCGGCGGAGGATCGGGCCGGGGACGAAGGGGGGGGGGGATGGGGAAAGGGGGGGGTGTAAAACGACGCGAAGATCGGGACAAAATCGGATCGGGATACCTCGACATCTCTGAGGATCGGCGGGTTTGGAGGATGTATATTGGGCGCCGCGGCCGCTCCAGAGCGTTCTGGAACGCTCTGAGAGCGCTCCGGAACGCTCTGGAGCGATTTATCCCGATCCTAGCCTTGTTTTAGATGGGGAAAGGGGGGGGGGGGGGGCGAAACTTGCTGCATGCCGCTGGTTTCGGCCTCGCCGAGGGGCCCATTCCTCGATGCATATAGCCGCCTCCGGCGCCGGGAGGCGCCGGGGAAATCAGCCACGCGCGAGCTGGGTCTCAAGCCCCGCCTTTGCTATCCCCCCCCCCCCTTGCGCCCGACCCGAGAGGAGGTGGTGAGCCAGCTGCGGAGGGAGTTCCGGGCGGCAGCGTCCGCCACAGAGGTCCGGTGCGGCAGCGAAGCGCGGGAGCCCGGCAGGCCCTCGCAGTCCCGTCTCTCGAGTGCTGAGAGCGAGACGGCTCGCGCCTGGTGGTCGGAGAGGTGGCGCCGATGCAGCGTCGATGTGGCGTCGACTTGGCGCCGATGTGGCGTCGATGTTCGCATCGATGGTCGTCGATTCGCGTCGGCTCGATTAGCGTCGGTATAGCGTCGATTCGCAGGGGCCAGCAAGATGGCATGGGTGGCTCCCATGAGTTGCCACGGAAGGGTTCATAATCGTTTGACCTATCCCCACCCCCACCGTGGCATGGCATCTCAGCCCCACCATCCCGCCACTCCAGTTGGGGATAGGCGGATCGGCCCCTCGAAAGTCGGAGGAGGCAGCCCACGCTCCCATCGAGGGGGGTACATCGGCCAGCGGGGCCACGCCAGTGTCGCAGGCCTAGAGGTTGGCACCAACACCAATATCGGCGGTGTGCCTCCACCGAGGGAAGAAGATCCCGATCTCGGTGATGGTGGTCACACTCTGGCCTCTAAGCACCGATATATGACCACCAGCACCGAAATCTAGGATCATCTTCCCCCTGTGGAGGCAAACCCCCCTGTGTTGGTGCTGGTGTCTAGTTCCAGGCCTCCACTGCAGTGGGGGCGAGGGCCGGTGCGGACGGTGCTCAGAGGTCGTCCGGATCCTGCGCCGCGCCGTGGGCAGGGGCTGGGGCTTCGCGTGGGCGGCCGAGGCCCTCGCCTGCGTCGCCCGGAAGTCCACGGAGCGCACGCGCGCGGCCTGGGCCCGGGACCCGGCGGTGGAGCGCGTGGCGGAGGGCCTCCGCTACGACCTCGCGGCGGAGGGGGCCTGGGCCGCCGAGCCTGGGGGGCCACACGCGGACCCCACCCCCCTACCCCCCCCACGAGTTCTGAGGGGGAGGGTGGGGCTCACTCTGCTCGAGAGCTCCCGAGCGAGGTGAGCCCCGCCCTCCCCCTCCGAAAAAATCGCGGGGGGCAGAGGGGTGGGGCTCGCACGTATGGCCCCCTGCCGAGCACGCCGCGAGCGCCGTGGTCGCGCTCGACGCCCTGCGGCGGCTGGCCCTGCAGGCGCCGGAGGAGCAGAGGCGCCCGCTGGAGCGCGCCGCGGCGGCCCTCGCGGCGGCGGGCTGGGCCTGCCCGTGCGAGGCCCTGGCGCTGCTGGCATGCAGGGGGGGAAGAAGCACACAGACACAGTGATTCGTCGATTCCCAGAAGATGTGCGAAAATGTGGGAAGTGGGGGGGGAAGACAGAAACCCAGAAGATAATATGGGAAAATGTCGGACATCTTTTTATATGTGTGTATTGATTTGTGTGCTTGTGGGCCCCTCTTCAGGCATGGCTGGCGGCGCCCCTGCGCCTGCAGTGCCTGGGCCAGGCGCTGCGGGCCGCCTGGCGTCGCTGCGCCGAGCTGGGCGTCGGGGAGCTCGCGCTGCTCGTGGAGGCCATGCGAGAGGGCTCGGCGCTGGTCCGCGCCCCCGACTCGCGGAGGCTCCCAGAGGGTGGCGCGCTGCTGAGCAGGGAGAGGCTGGTGCTGCCAGCGGAGTTCGACCTGATCTTCGACGTCGTGCCAAACGACACCCGCGAGGGCTGGAGCCGGATTCTGCAGCTCGTCGGCGACTCGCAGGAGACCCAGGAGGGGAGCGTGGGCGAGGTGCCGGCCTTTTACTTCGCCCCTGGCACGACGAAGCTCCTCGTCTCAGCGGACCCCCTGCGCGAGTGCGCCGAACCGGGCAAGATCGAGGACGACAAGACCGTGGAACTGCCGAAAGGCCAGGTCTCCCGCACGATGGCGCGATTCTCCAAGGGCTCCTTCACTGTCTTCGTGAACGGCAGGCTCGCGCTGACCGGCCTCGCGAAGGCGCCCTTCGCGGGCCGCAGCGTCCTGCTCAGGTCCGGCGGCGGCGCAGGGCTCCCGGCCGCGGACGCGTCGCTCGCCAGCGTAGTCTGCAGGCCCACGCGGGGTGGCGCGGGCTTGGACGAGCTGCTGCTGCAGAAGGCGGTGCGCCGACTGCGTGCCTCGCCCTCGGCGGCCTACGCCCCGCTGCCGGCCGCGGCGCTGGTGCAGCTCGCCGAGGGCCTGACGGAGCTCGAGGCTGGCGACGAAGGTCAGTCTCGTGTAACCCTATCCCCAGGCCCCCTCGAGTTATGAAAAAATCACGACGGGAGGTTTTTCACTATTTTGGGGCCTTTGGGGGCCCTTACCGGCCCTCGGGACCGTCAAAAAACGACTCAGGACGAAACACCGGTCCCGGGGAATGGGTCGAGGCCTCGGGGGGTCGACGTCATGAAAAAATCATGACGTCGGGGGTCGGGGTCCCCATCCCCACCGGGCCAGGGCATCTCAGCCCCACCACCCCACCACTCCAGTTGGGGATGGGCCCCTCGAAACTCGGAGGGAGCAGCCTATACGCTCCCGTCGAGGGGGGCACGTCGGCCAGCGGGGCGCAGGCCACGCCGGTGTGGAGAGGGATCGGTTAGACGATGCTCAGAAGGACTGTTGCGCCTGCTGGGCCAGGAGATCCTGCAGCGCAAGCCTGAGCTCACCCCCGGAGAGCTCTGGCGCGCCAAGGCCGCGGGGGGCAGCTGAAGCCACGGGGTCAGCGGGCAGCTCTCTTGGCAAGGTATAGTCATGGGGCTGCGGTGCGCCAGGAGCTGTGGGCCCGCCCTGGGGCCACCTCGGGGGGGCCGTTGAGGACAGACAGTCCGTGCGCAGCCAGAGGCCTTCCCGTGCTCCTCGGGTCCTGCCCCCCCCTCCTCCTCCCTCCTCCTCCCCTCCTCCTCCTCCTCCTCCTCCTCCTCCTCCTCCTCCTCCTCCTCCTCCTCCTCCTCCTCCTCCTCCTCCTCCTCCTCCTCCTCCTCCCCCTCCACCGCCTCCTCATCCTCGTCCACCGCCCTTCCCCAGGGACGAATCTCAGCGACTAGATTCACCTGTTGTTTTGACCACCCCGAGGTCTCGTTCCAGCTGCGGGGGCTGCCCCTGGGCAAGGTGTGGACTGCCGTGGGCTCGAGCCGCAAGCGCAAGGGGGGGGAGATGGTCACCACGCAGGCATTTGCACCGGAGGAGGGCCACGAGAAGAAGCCAAAGTCGCAACATGACGTGGAGAAGGTAGACGTACAGGATTTGGTGCAGGTTATTGGAGACCTAGTGCGCACTTCATACTAGCTGGCGAGGCTTCTACACCCCACCATCTTCAGAGGAAAAACGAATGGCAGTCAGCATGGTCTGAGGGAGACGAGGGCTGCCCATCATTCATGAGGTCTTGCCTTGCCGCCCCTCTTACACAGCTGGTTGGCGGTAGGGCTGGGCTGCTGGGTCATGAAATCCCTCCTCCCTACGTGCCTCCCTCTCCTCCCTTCCTCTATCCCTCCTTCCCTCGTCCTCCTCCTGCCGCCTTGCTCCCCTCCCTCCCCGTCATTCTTTCTTCTCCTCCACCACCTGTTGTACCATTTTCTACTCTCCCCTGATTCTGTCCAGACATTATCCTGCCCTTTTCCCGCGTATTGTTGCAGACATGCGTGCAGACAGAAACATACGCTTTTTGCGTCGGCGGCTGGGCAGAGGTTGCTGCTCCCGCGATCGGGCATCAGTGGGGCGCGCTAGATGCACATGTGGCCGCAAGGCACGGGAGGAGAGCAGGAGACCCCGGCGCAACGGGAAGAGGGGAAGCCGGGCCCGGCGCGCGGCGGGGCGGACGCTGGGTGGGGGAGCCAGCCGCGGCGCCGGGCAGCGGCTGGGGGGGAAGGCAGCCGGACGGCGGCCGGGCAGAGCCGTGCAGGGGGAGCAGGTGCCACGAATGGGCAAGTGTGGCACGTCCAGGCCAGCGAATCAGCACACCAGCCCAGAGGAATACCGGGAGGGGCGGACGTGGGACAAGCAGCGAGCGGCGGCACGGAGAAGTGCCTGTCACACATCGAGACGGTGGGCCACGCCAGTGGGGGAGCCGGCGGTGCTGGCGAGCCCAGCGGCTAGGCAGAGCGCCGAGATTTGGTGACCTGCGAGGCGCGATGGGAGAGGGAGAAGGGCGGAGCGCTGGCCGCCACGAGCGCGCTGCGACGATCACGGCAAGAGCGGCGGGCGTGTAACACACACACACATACACATACACACATACACACACAAATTCACACACACTTAAGTCGGCGACGCAGAGGGTCCTCAGGCGCGAGCAGCAGATGGAAGTGCTGATTGCGGTCGAACGTTGTCGAAGGTACAGAGCACGAACCGCTTCACAGCGTCAAAGGCAGCAACGGGTGATGTGCAGGAGGAGTTGTAAGACCAAGCGAAACGTGCGGCCGCCAGAAAACCGAGGAGGCGACTCAACTCGAAGCAAGCTGAAGTAGACACGCACACACACACCTAATAACATACATATATATATATATATATATATATATATATACACATATGGACAAGACTGCATTGGCGCCTCGCGCCATGCGCCCTGGTCCTTCACGACTAACATGCAGGCATAATGGGAGAGAGAGGTAGATCAACCGAAACCGCGATTGCTGCTGGTTGGAGTTCTCGCCGTCACCGTTATTATTATTATCATTCTTCTTCTTCTTCTTCTTCTTATTATTATTATTATTACTATTATTATCATTATTAATAATATCATTATTATTATTAGTATTAGTATTATTATCACTATTATTATCATTATTAGTATTATTATTATATACATATATATTGTTGTTGCTTCTCCTTCCCTCCTGCGTCCTCTTCCTCTTCCTCCTCCTCGCCCTCATTGCCCCGCGATCTCTTCTCCGTCCTCCTCAGATTGGTTTGCGGTGGCTCCTCGAGGCGAGCTCCTGGAGGACCTCGCCCACAGCAATTCGGGGGCTCTCCTAGGGCGCCTCTGGAGACGTCCCCGGCGCCTTTGGGCGGCCTCTGGCGGGTCTCTCGGGCCACCATGCTGCGAACCGGTAGTTTTAAGTCGGGCCTGTCCCCACAGGGGGATTTTCGACGAAAAACTAAAATACCTCAAAAATAATAATATTAAAAAAATCCAGAAATAGTCTGGGGACAATTTTTTTGCATATTGTTTGACCTTCTTGCGGTATTTTTGGGGTATTTCTAATTTTTCGTCGAAAATCTCCCTGTAGGGGGACACGCCCGACATAACCGTAGTTTCGGGTCGCTTTTTCGATGAAGAATTAAAAAAATACCCTCAAAATAGTAACAAAAGTAATCCAAAAATAGTCAGGGGACTATTTTTTTTCATATTGTTTGACCTTCTTGCGGTATTTTTTGGGGTATTTCTAATTTTTCGTCGAAAATCCCCCTGTAGGGGGACACGCCCGACATAATCGTAGTCTCGGGTCGCAGTTTCGAGGAAACATTTGGGCCGTCTTGGGGCGTCCGGTGGGGGTCTGGGGCCGCTGGAGGCCGTCTTGGACCGTCTTGGGGGCTTCTTGGGACCGCCGCCGACCCGCTTGCACAGCCGGGCAGGGAGCTCCGGAGGCCCAGGGCCTCGAGGGGCCCTCCGACGGGGGCGTCCAGGAGCCCCGGACGCCGGGGGTCGCGTTTCGGGAGGGGGGGGATCCGCAGGGTCCTGATGAATAGAAGCAGGCGAAGCGGAATAGATCCAGCACGTTCATAACGCTATAGCTGTGCTGTGTATATAAGCATGCTAGCACGCGCATGTCTATGAGCGTATGTACACATAACAGATATGATCGAGCCACGGACCCGGAAAGGGATATGGACAACTGTGAGGCACGGCAGCGTTTTCAAGGCACCTGCTTGGGCGACGGGCAATTGCAATGCTGAGTGTATCGATTTTGGTGTACCGTGCCCAGGGCTGTGCTGTGCTGTGCCGTGCTGAACTGCGATGTGCCATGCCGCGAGTGTGCTCTATAGCGTTGTGGATCGAGTCCTCCTTGGCATTCGAGTCCTGACCGAACTGATCTGGATCTCAAACTCGAGCTGCCTGAGCACATAGTAGCCGCCCCAGAGCAAGTTGAAGCGGAAAAGTGGAGGACGTTCAATCAATTCGACCTTGAAGTCCAACTCAGCTCCGAAAAGGAACGAGACGACACGTGGCACATGCTCACGGACGCGCCACAGGATGTGCCAGGGGCATAATTATGGGATGCGCCAGAGGACGTTTCAGGGGACGCATCAGAGGACGTGCCTTGGACGTGTCAGGGACCTGCCACGGGACGTGCCAAAGCGCGTGCCATGGGGCGGCCAGAGGACGTCATGCCAAGGGACGTTGCAAGGGGCCCGCCATTTTAGCGAGCAGGGGAGACGCCTGGGGATGAGCAAGGAAATGCGACAGAGGACGAGCCAGGGAACGTGACACGCCGAGTGGCGTGCTAGGGGACGTGCCAGGACACATCACGCCTGAACGTCGCAAAGGGCGCGCCAGGGGGCGCGCCAGGGCGCCAGGGGACGCCCCACGGACGAGCGGGGTTGGATTGCGACGCACTCTACTGCGACAAGCGTTTTGCTCGAGACATCCTCAACAAGTCCTCATGTTAGACATCCGCCTGGGTTACCTGGGCACGCGAAAACAAGCGTCTCGCTCGAGACGTTCTCAACACCTCCTCATGCTAGACATCTGCCTGAGCGACCTGGACTCGTGACACCAAGCGTTTCGCTCAACACATCCTCAACATATCCGAATACTAGGCATCCGCCTGGGCGACCTGGACACGCGAAAACGAGCGGTTCCCTCGAGACATCCTCCGAACATCTTCATGTTAGACATCCACCTGGGCGACCTGGGCACGTGAAAACAAGCGTTTCGCTCAACACATCCTCAACACACCCTCACGCTAGACATCCGCTTGGGCGACCTGGACACGCGAAAGCAAGCGTTCCGGTCGAGACTTTCTCAACACATCCTCATGCTAGATCCGCCTGGGCGACCTGGACGCGTGCAAACAAGCGTCTCTCTCTCTCTCTCTCTCTCTCTCTCGAGAGAGAGAGAGAGAGAGACATCCTCAACACATCCTCATGTTAGACATCCGTCTGGGCGACCTGGACATGTGAAAACAAGTGTTTCGCTCAATATCCCCAGCACCTCCTCATGCTAGACATCCGTCTGGGTTACCTGGGCACGCGAAAACAAGCGTCTCCCTCGAGACATCCTCAACACATCCTCATGCTAGACATCTGCCTGGACGACCTGGACGCGTGAAAATAAGCGTCTCGTTCGAGTCATCCTCAACAAATCCTCATGCTAGACACCTGCCTGGGCAATCTGGAGGTGTGAAACCAAGCGTCTCGCTCGAGGCATCCTCAAGACCTGGGCAAGTGAAAACAAGTATTTCACCTGAGACATTCTTTGAATTCCTGGTCCCCAGGAGAGGAACGATTTGTAGCACAAAACAAGCGTTTCTCTCGAGACGTCCTCGACAAATTATGCAGAACGAGCGTTTCGCTCGAGACATCCGCAACAAACGAACATGCTTATTTTAACCTGTGTCTTATCGATCGGAACTTCAAAACAACAGCGTTTTGCTCGGGACATCCTTAAATTTGAGTCCGACTGCCCTCTTCGACTTCGTAGTTGATCATTTGTTTGGCCAGGTTTCCACGGGGGAGTCTCAAGTTGCAACAATCAAACACACAAGACGCGCTCTAGCGCTGCATTCGGCCGATCCTCTTGCCAGCCGCCGTATTGGCTGAGCCGGAGGCCAAGATGTGGGGTGGATCCTTGCTGACGGGCCTGTCTTAGGCGGGCCCTGTCTCGATCATGGAAAGGATCCGCCGGCCCTCCTTCGAACTTGGCCCCGGGGGGCAGGCTTACACACCAAAGGAGAACCCCGGGCCTCTTGCCCTCTCCGGGAAAAACGTATGTGCGCTTCGCGCCATGCACCTGCGTTCTTCAGCTTCGGCCTGCGGGTAGAATGAAAGAGAGGTAAATGTTCGCAAACACCGATCATTCCTCCTTGCCGTTCTCTTTGTCGTTGTCATGTGTCGTTTTTCTCGTTCGATCGGGTTCCTTCTTCATCTCGGGGGCCCCCAAACGGGGCGGTGACCACACCGTGCGGTGAGTCGGTGGGGATTCGGGGTCACCGCACGGTTTTGGGACTCGGGTCGTTCTCCGAGGACGTCTCGGGCGACTGGGGCCTCCGAGGTCCCAAAACCGTGCGCTGACGGACCGTGCGGTGAGGTCTTGGAGGGTTTCGAGGTCACCGCACGGTCTTTCACCGCACCGTTTCGGGACGCCAAATCATCGTTCTCGCTATACCCTGCGAGCCTTTCCTGTCCTCAGCTTGTTTTGCGAAGGCTCATCCTTGGAAAGCGTTTTGAGGGCCTCACGAAACTTTTTCGGGGGCTTCTTGGAGTCGTCTGGAGGCCTG